AAGAGGGGGAGGAAGGGGAGGAGAAAGGAAGAAGAGGAAAGGGAGGAGGAAGAGGAGGAGGAAGGAAGAGGAAGGGGGGGAGGAGGGAGACTGAGGGGTCCTTGGTGCTCTCTGAGCTTCATTTCTTACAGACGTTTCATGACCCAACTAGGTAACGTCATCAGTGCGCACCGTAGCACTGACAGACAAATCATTTGTTTTGAACAGACATTTAGGCCATCACAAACTATGGGACCCAAATGAATTTGCCGTCCATTGCTTTAAAATCATCATGTACTCCATCCAGGTAAGTCTGCCCTATTCAAGCCCAGGTAATTAAGGCCTTCTTTGCAGCCGGAGGGCACTTTCACTGGTGTGAAAAAATTTTTATGGCTAACGCCATCTTTGAGTGTGTGTGTGTGTGAGAGTGAGTGTGTGTGTGTGTGTGTGTGTGTGTGTCCGTGTGTCGTTGTGTCCGTCCTCCTCCTCCTCCTAATTAGGTTTTTTAAAATATTTTTACAAACACATGGTTGTGTGAACAGTGTGGCACCTGAGTGTCTTACATTTTAGTACAAATGAAATAATATTCTTCATATTTACTACAGTTGACAATCTTACATAGTTTCAGTAATAATGCACATCTTTTGTTGAATTATAATCTTTCATGATTTGATTATTCGGTCTTTCGGTATGTTATTTTTAATGCCAATCTCCATATTCCAAATATCACTCCTTTTACTCTAAAAAACATTAATAATCATATTTGTTGTATTTAACAGACTTACAGAGTTTCTAACAGTGACACACATATTTATATTGAATTATAATCTTCCATCGTTTGTCCCCTTTCTAATTCTTAATTGTGCCACTGTTATATTTAGAAGTATTCCCTTTCTAATCACATTTTAATACCAATAAAATAATATTCAACATATTTACGTTTGACAAGCTTCTAATAATAATCCACACATTTTGTTGAATTAGAATCTTTCATTATAAAATTATTCAGTATTTCAGTGTTGTTTTTATACCGATCATGTTCTAGATATCATTCCTTTTACTACTAAAGCTTTCCTGCTTTTTATTAGCCACTGAAAACTGAGCTTTCTTTCATGCCTTGACCTACAGCTAGTCCTTGAATTACAACCGTTCATTTAGTGATCAGAGTTACAACAGCACTGAAAGAAGTGACTTATGACCATTTTTCACACAACCGTTGCAGCATTTCCCACCCCATAATCACGTGATCAAAATTCAGAGGCTCGGCAACTGGCATGGACTTATGACGGTTGCATTGTCCCAGGGGGTTGTATGATTGCCTTTTGCGTCCTTCTCACAAGCGGAGTCCGTGGGGAAGCCAAATTCATTTAACAGCTGTGTTAGTAACGTAACAATATCAAGGATTCACTTAACAGCGGCGGAAGAGAGGTCGTAACACTGGGCAATACTCCCTTGAATGAATGTCTCGCTTAACAAATGGAAACGTTTAACAAACTGGGCTCAGTTGTGGTTGTGAGTCTTTAAAGCAGTGTTGGTCAAACTTGGTGCCTTGAAGGTGGGTGGATTTCAACTCCCAGAATTCCCCAGCCAGCACTGAAATCCCCCATCTTAAAGATGCTGGCTGGGGGATTCTGGGAGTTGAAGTCCTCCCATCTTAAAGACGCTGGCTGGGGGATTCTGGGAGTTGAAGTCCCCCCATCTTAAAGATGCTGGCTGGGGGATTCTGGGAGTTGAAGTCCCCCCATCTTAAAGACGCTGACTGGGGAATGCTGGGAGTGGAAGTGCACCCATCTTCAAGGGGCCAAAGTTGACCAACACTGCTTTAGAAATCATTCCTTTGACTTTGCAGCGGTTCCTCTTCGTTTCCTGCGACGCCCCAAACCTGTTCTTCAGTTTCCATTTGGACTTAGCGGCACAAAAATTTCATTTGCCTTCCTTGGAGGCGGGGGGAGGACTTTGTCTTGATTACTACCCCGGAAGAGGTGCCAATGGTGTGTCCTTTCTGTTTTCCTTCCAAGGCCCAATACTCCCACCACGTGATACAGGAGATCCTGGCACACCTGGACAGCTGCAAGCGAGACTCGCCCCGCGTTCGAGCTGGGATCATCCAAGTCCTGCTGGAGGCGGTGGCCATCGCGGCCAAGGGATCCATCGGTGAGTCCAGTCAGCTCTGCCTGGCGTGCAGTTTTGGGAGAGGGACACAAAAGGCTGGGGTTCTCACCCAGATCCCCAAACACTACGGACCCTCTGATGTGAACTCAAAAGATTCCTTTAATTAGGAGCCCCGGCAAAAAGTTTCTCTCTCACCGCAAGCTAACAAGTCAGTCCAGCAGGTAGATGAATAGTTGTCTGCCGCATCTATTCATCTCTGCCTTTTATCCCCAGAGCTAGAATGGGGCTTCGCTAGCAGCGGTTGTTCTTCCGTCCCGAGGACCGGCCCATAGATTTCCACTGCTCTCCTCTCCTCGGCAAAAAGTTTCTCTTACCGCAGGCTAACAAGTCTGTATGGCCGGAAGATGAGTAGTTGTCTGCCACATCTATTCATCTCCACCCCCTGCCTTGTATCCCCAGAGCTCGGGTGGGGCTTCGCTAGCAGCCGTGGCTCTTCCGTCCCAAGGACCGGCCCATAGATTTCCACTGCTCTCCTCTCCTCTGCCTTCTGTGCATCTGAGCGTCAGGCACTGGACCCAGCTGTTCTTTCTCTTCCTCATCAGCCTGGAGGCTGTAGACTCTCCATCTAAGGGCTGATGGATGGTCCAGGCCCCACCTCTCTCTCTCTCTCTCTCTCTTCTTCTCTCTCTGCCAGCTCCGTTCCCTCTTCCCCCTCGGAGCTCTCAGGTGGCCTTGATGCTGATCCTGACTCCCACTCTTCCTCCTCCTCCTCCTCCTCTGATTCAGCTGCTGGAGAGACTGGTGGCCCACAGGCTACAACAGCTGGCTGGTTGTTAGGAATGTGCCCTTGGATATGTGGCTTCTTCCTGTGGATAGGTAGTCCTTGACTTACAGCCATTCATTTAGTGGCTGTTCGACTGTTCAGTTACAACAGCATTGAAAAAAGGGACTTAGGACCGCTTTTTACATTTGCAACTGTTGTTGCGTGGTCCCCTGGTCCCATGAACAAAATTCAGGCACTTGAGACTCCGGGGATCATGTGATCACCATGTGCGACTTCCTGACAAGCAAAGTCAATGGGGAGAGTTGGATTTCACCTAACAACCAGGTTAAATCACAACTGGGGCAAGAATAGAATAGAGAATAGAATAGAATAGAATAGAATAGAATAGAATAGAATAGAATAGAATAGAAT